TGTGCTTTAACCCGCTGCGCCACCAGGGAGGGCTGAATTTATTGTTTTAATAGGTACCCCAGTGCCTACTCAATAATGTGAAAAAATTGAAGATGTTTGAATAGAAAGTGTTTTATTTATGTTAAAAAAGATTCACCTGGCGGCCCTCCCTGGAGGCACAACGGGTAAAGCACAATGAAGGAATCATAGACACTGCAGCATGAGTTGAATCCTGGGCCAGAGAGGTGACCCACATGGCGCAGCAGACCTCTCCTGATCTGCCTACTGCCCCCCTCAGCAGTGTACTTTGTTGATCTGCCTGTTCTGTCCTGCTTCCTGCTCTGCCTCTGGTGAATTCTCTCACCTCTGACCTGTATCCCAGTTCTCTGTATATAAATCTTAAAAAAGAAAAAAAAAAAAAAGAAAAAGATTCACCTGGCATTTGTTTGAACTGGAAGAAGGTCTGAAGGTAGAGCTGTTACTTAGAATGCTATTGTGCTAAATTGGTAAGGGAGGAATGGATACAGACAAGTCACTGAATTTGGTGTAATGGTCTAATTACTCACAGGGAGTTTCTCTTCCAGTTTGTTCTACATGTAACATATAATTCAGTGGATTTATGTACCATGCTTTAGTGCTGATTCAGGCTGACTGGAAAAATAGGCTGATACTAGAAATGGGGTATTTAGAAGATATTGGTTAACTAGCAGTTCCTCTGTATTAGCAAATGTATTCTTTGCACATCCACTACTTCTCTCAAGGCCTGAGTCAGTATTCTTTTATAAAACCTTCATCAAGTACATGCTTCTCAAATTGGCCCTTTTGTTCTCATATAACCCTAGATTTTATATAAATTTTGTAAGCTGATTTTCTAATTGTTTCTTAAATGTTCAGATTGATTTTATCTTGATTAAGACCTCCATGAAGGGTGGATGAGGTGTGTTAGCATACTTCTGTGAGAGTGTGATCCTACGGTGTTGACTCACAGTGTCGTAAAACTGTGTGATCATAATGAAAAAAAAGACCTCCTTTCTTATTTTTCTGTTTTCCTCTCTATAGTTTGGTTCATGCTCAAACTATGTTTTTCCTTTCTATAGTTTTGGTGCATGCTGTAGTGCATGCTCAACAATTATTAAATAAAAATATTACTTTTTTTTTCTCATTCTACAGCACTGCTGTTTTATAAAATCATAATAATTGATATTGATACTCTGACTTCAGGTTCTTTTAGTCGCTTGAATTTGATATCAAGGAATTTGTCATGGAAGGATCTTGTTTTTCTCCTTAGTATTAATTTAAAAAGTTATTTCCTTACGATTTAGTTTTCTTTAGTGATCTGTATGAAGTACTGACATCTACAATTTTTTATAAACTCTTCCTCTTCTATCTTCAGCTTTTACCATCTCCTAAGACGATGCATTTCTTTTGTTTTTTCTATAACTTACAACATAAAGTAATATATTGTATTTTACTGACACTAATTTTCTGTACATCTGAATTTATTTTTTTAAAGCCTTGAGCTTTTTTTAATCTTTGTTTTTTCAAAATTAATCTCAGAAGTAATCTCATATGATAAGAAATCCAAATAATTTAGAAACATTTAAAGTAAAAAATGAGGGAGGAGGCATAATCAGAAAGGATTTTATGGGAGAAATATGATAAAGAAATCTTTCAGTATGACTGGAACCATAATTAAGGATCACTAATATTTTTTAAATGAAAGGCAAAGTAGACTATATGACCTAAAAGACATGCATTGATTTAATAAAAAAGTTGTGTTCTTAGACTTTTGGTTATAAGCAGACTGTTAACATACAATACATATATATGTGTGTATGTATATGTACGTATATTTCCTTATGTCTGTTCTTAAAGCCTATATAATGTTATAAATCAGTGTAACATTAGTTTTTAAAAGTTTTTTAAAAAACTTTAAAATATTTTTTAAAAGTTTACATGAAAATACTTTCATCCCACTCCTTGAAGGTCACCACTATTAGCAATATTTACAGGTGTTAATTTTTGGTTGTACAATTGCCTGCATTCAAACACTAAATACCAAAAATGAAGGTAACATGATACTTTTTTTTTCATTTTGCATTATTTAATGCCTACCGAAGAGCAATTAGGTTTTTCTAATTTTTTTGCTGTCAAAACAACGTGCATATGTTGTATATGTTTAAACACTTAGGCTCATATTTATAGAGTATTAGACATGAGAATATCTTAGATATTTTAAATTTATATAGATTCTGCTGAATTGCCTCTTTGAAAGTACAATAGTTTATGTTTTGTCTAAGAGTACAATTTTACTATACCCTATCTGTATTAATTATCTTATTTCATCCTCACTAGTCACCCATATAGTCATTGGACTATTTAAAAAAAGAGTAACAACCTCTTGCTGAGAATTCAAGGCTAACCTTTTCAGACTCCCTTAATTTTTTGCTGTTTTTGTGGGCACTTGGAAAAAACTCAGAAAAGCAGCAGATAATAATAATGTCCATAGGATATCTCTCATGTGACTCCTTTCATTTACCCAGCTTGAAATATCTATGGACTCCTTATGTGTGCATGTTAGCAGCATTTGGTGTATGCTCTCCCGAACTTTGGATGACGCTTTTCAAGTGGCTTCGGTTGCGAACTATACACCCGGTATTGTTGGTGAGTCATTGTTATTTTGTGTTAAGTACTTGTTTCTCTTCCAGTTACCTAAAATCAAATGTTAATAAAAGCAAATCACAGTGACTACAATTGAGGTAGTATGAGTAAATCATTAAGACTTACAGATAGAAAAAAATGCTGTGAAAAACATCTTTTTATAATTCCTGAATTACAGTACAGACAACTTAGAAAAGAACAGGTAAATGTGAATCAATGTGAGAAGATATCAAGAATTGTTATATCTTTCTTATTTTTATTGAAAACTATAGTAGATTATTAGTAATGAATCACAGTTACATTCTGCCTGCTACATGCAATATGCTTGAATACACAGATGAAAAACTATGATTAACTTCAACAAATAACTGAGTCTCCTGATAGTGCTAGATAAGAAGTATTGATAGGATGCTGTTGGAACACAGTACAGGGCTACTTAACTGATATTTGAAAGATGATGAATTGACTGATCAAATGAAAGGGAAAAAAATGGTATTTGTGGTGGAAGGAATAAATATAGGTAGCCAAAGAACATGATATAATCAAAGGGAATGTAAAAATAAGTGAAGCAAAAGCATGGAATATTGTTTACATATCAAATGTGAGGTAAGGGTGGTCAAGAAATGAGACTGGAGAAACAAAGAGGGACAGGTCATGCTTGCCTTTGAATGTCTTGCTGTGATGCTTGGTCTTGTTTGGTAGGCATCTTGTTTGCTTGGTCTTGTTTGGTATAGAGATGACACCTCAGAGGTGAGAGGCTCAGCTTACAATTTTCTGTCAGTAGACTTAATTTTCAGCTGGCCCTCTTAGTTCTGTGAAACTTAGGTTTTATGGTGACAGACTGAAGCCAGGAAGAAGGCTAACCCCCAAGTATGACCAAGCTGGATAGAAGTGATGAAAACTTCAATTTATTGAGCATTCACTATGTGTCAAGAACTGGTCAGAGCATTTCTTGTGTTATTCAATACTTAACAAAGGTCCTACTGGTTAGGCTAAAACCTGTATTTTATAGGCAAAGAAACTAAGACTTAAATTGGCACAGTAACTTGTGTGAGTTCACATAGCTTGTAAGTGTGGAAATGATGACTCACACCCAGGTTTTTCTCATTTAAAGACCATTCAATTAATAATACTATACTTGTGTGCAAAAACTAAAAAAGATTGAGACTTGGTGCTTATTAATATATATGAATGAGAAAATGAGGAAGAAGGTGAAATCATAGCTGTTTCTTAGGTTTCTGGATTGCATGACTGGATTTTGGAGTTGCCACCAGACATGAGACAATAGGAAGTACAGGCAGGAAGATTATGAATAATTATCTTGAACAGTAGTCATTTTGCCAGTCTGTTGCAGAGGAATTTATACATCATTTTAACATATTAGTATATTAATATTAGCTACTTTTTCTGTGTTAATTCACTGTCTTTTGGGGGAACTTTTGGGTTCACTAACCTTTGTAAGCATTTCATAACTTAAATTGCTGGCAAAATTGCCCAATGTTGATTTACTGCTTGAAATGTTACTCTAAGTATTAGGGTTTTTTTTTTTAATTATTGCTGTTCTGTCTTAAATTTACATAGTAAGTGTATATATCTACTTTACCTCCAGCCTATTATGTCTTATACTTATCTTTAGTCTTCACCCATCTCATTTAGTAAACTAGGTTTCTTTTTATAGTTGGAAGGATGTGTGATTGGTCGTGGTGTCAGTATCTAATATTTTTAAAGTAAATTCAGAAATGTATCCATAACCTTTCTGCTTTAATATTTTAGGCACTTATTCTGAGCATGGCTGTACCAACTATAATAGGTCTCAGCTTATGGAAAGAGGTAAGAAAATTCAATTTTTATTTCATTAAAGTAGACTTTATCTACATGGTAGTGATTAAAAAGTGTATATATATATGTAGGACACTTATATTAAGAAACTATCCTAACAAAATAGTTTGATATTCTTTGTAATGCTGAGCTTTATCATTAGCAACAAGATAGAAAAGTTTAAAATATTTTAAGAATGCCATCTGATAAAATTTAGCTTAATGCTATTTTTAATTCAGCTTATACTTCTGAATAAGTAGGTCTTTATATTAAAACATATTTTGGCATTTTCAAAGTTGAAATACATATATAAATTCATTGAATTATCGTAATAGATCATGAAACTAATTGTCAATAAACCTGTGAACTATTTGGCTAAAAATTTACTTTTTTTTCCAGTGTGTGCATACATGAAAGATGTTAATTTGTGATCAATTGCTTGGTAACTATTTAATTATTGGATCCAGGCAGTAAATTAATCATTAAATATATTATTTGGACTGATATGAATGAGCAGGTCACTGAAGAAAAAGTAGAGAGATCTATGATATTTTTTTCATGAGGACAATTTTATAATATTGTTTACCTTATTTCATCTCTTGAAATACTCTGAAACAGCTTAAATTATCTGTAGATACTTACATGTACTTTTTGGGGATTTTGTTTTACGTTTTAGTTTTTTCCAAGATTAATGACAGAATTAACGGAACTACAAGAATTTTATGATCCAGATACAGTGGAACTTATGACATGGATAAAGTAAGAATTTAACTACCCCAGACTTTATGAAGTTATTAATTAATCTTTGCATGCTATTGAGTAGATAATAGGAGAAAATTACAAATTAATGCTTTCCACAAGTTTTTCTCATAAAACTCAGAAATTTCATTCTGTATTTTGGGGGTGTATTTATTTTTTAAAGATTATTCATTTATGCATATAAGAGCTGAGTTATAGGCCACAGGTGGGTGTGGTAAGGGCATTCACCAGAGACACAAGAGAAGCAGAACAGGTGGACCTTCTGAAATACACCGCTAAGGAGAGCAGTGGGTGAGACAGGTGAAGTCTGCACTATGTGGCTCACCTCCCTGGACAGGGATCGATTTTGTGCTTCAGTGGCTGCCTGTATCATCTTAGTGCTGCGCTTTAACCCTTTGTGCCACTAAGGAAACTCCACTAGGGGAATATTTAGTTTTTCACTGCATTTATAATTCTAATTTTCTAGTTGCATCATCTCCACTGAAAATATAGGATTGATACATTTGAGGTTTTTTACTTTTACCACAAAATACCTAGAGATGTGGAATAAAAATGACAGATACTTTTTTATTTACACATTCTAGAAGAGTCTTCTTTTGCTGTGGGTTGGAGGTGGATGAGTGGTGAATTGCTAGTCTTGGTAACCAAGGTTACCTAGATTTTTTTTTTAAAGATTTACTTATTTATGCATACAGGACTGGGAGACAAGCCAGAGTGTTGGGTGTGAGAGGATTCACCAGAGATAGAGTGGGAGCAGAACAGGCAGATGAACTGAAATACACTGCTGAGGGGAGCAGCAGGTGGTCCAGAAGAGGTCTGCTGTGCCATGTGGGTCAGCTCCCTGACTGGGGATCAAACTTATGCTGCTGTGGCTCTGGATAGCTACATAGTGCTGTGATTTAACCCACTGTGCATCAGGGAGTGCCCTTGATTTTTTTTTTTTATATAGATTTTTAAATTTTAACACTTATACATGTTTTATTGCCCTGTCAGGACAGGAGATGTGGTCTTGGGCTTGTGGAGGTTCCCTGGCACAGTCAGCCTGCCTGCTTTGTCTCTGGTCCTTTCACCCCCCCTACCTCTGCATTTCTGGCCTGTATCCCAGTTCTTGTATGCATAAATAAATAAATCTTTAAAAAAAATAAAAGAGTAAGAAGTATAGGGAAATGATTCTAGTAATGAGGAGTAGGTTTATAGAAGGTATGTAGAAATTAAAATAGTTTTATTGTCAGGCCTTATTTCTGTAATGATAACCATATATAATAAATTGTTTTCTTTACATTACCTTTAACTTTATTATTATTATTATTATTTAAAGATTAGTTTATTGATGCATACAAGAACTGTGGTACAGTGAGAGGATTTACTAGAGACAGAAGGGAGCAGAATAGGCAGATGGACTGAAATACACTGCTGAGAAGAGCAGCGAGCAGGTCAAGAGAGGTCTGCCAAACCATGTGGGTCAGTCAGCTCCCTGGCCAGGCCTCCAGCTCATGCTGCAGTGGGTTTGGAGAGCTTCATAATGCAGTGCTTTAATCCGTTGCGCCACCAGGGAGAGCCCTACACTTTTAACTTTTCTTTAAGTGATTTAAAAAAATTTTAATTTATCTTCCCTTCCTTCTACTTCCTTTCAAAAGCAGGGTGCTTATCTTGAGTCCCTGATCTTCCCCTTTTATAAAAATTTCTTCAGCACTCAGAAAAGTTCTTGGTACATAGTAGGTACTTATTTTTTTTTAATGACTGTATAAATAAAATAAAAACTAATTTAAACTTATGTAATACATTGCAAGTTGACTGGTATTCAGAGTTAATATAAATGGGTGACCTAAATAGTATACTGTGTAAATCTTTTTGATTCTTTGCAGACGGCAAGCTCCAGTTGCAGCTGTGTTTGCAGGGAGCCCACAGTTAATGGGTGCAATTAAATTATGCACTGGATGGATGGTGACAAGCCTGCCTCTTTACAATGATGATGATCTTCTCAAGAGAAATGAAAATGTAAGGCATTATTATTTTTATTTTTATTATTTTTTAAAGATTTATTTATTCATACAGAACTGGGGTACAAGCCAGAGATGCGGAGGGTGAGAGGATTCACCAGAGACAGAGCGGGGAGCAGAACAGGCAGATGGATGAAGTACACTGCTGAGGGGAGCAGCGGGCGGGTCAGGAGAGGTCTGCCGCGCCATGTGGTCACCTCTGGGGCAGGCGGGGGTCGAACTCATGCGGAAGTGGCTTTAGCTTCTTAGTGCTGTGCTTTAACCTGCTGCGCCACCATGGAGGGCCAATGTAAGGCATTTTAGATTGTACTTTTGGATCTTCTTTCTTCATTTATTTCAATATAGTTTTGTACTACATATGTTCCTGCTAGCTAGGAAAATTTAAGTAATTTTAGAAGAGTAAATTAGCTTTAATTTTTAAAAAATCTATGTAATTCACTTAACCAAGAAAAGTGCTAAAGTTAAGATGTTAAGGTCTTTGTTTTTGAATAGCACTGTTATGTATCTAGGAGATATCTTTCATTTTCCACAGAGATTTAAGGAAATTGATGTATGGTATTTCACAAAGGGAAACATTCTTTTGAAAATAGCATTGTTCTCAAATTATTGAAGGTTTTTAGTTAATGTCTTGATACACATGGGCGACTTGTAATTACTTAGTTTAACATTAGAATGATATGTCATTACTTCTTGTTTAGAGAATAAATTATTTTGACTGTTTGGTATGGGTTCAAATGAACTTCATATCTGGAGGTGGTAATGACTGGCTGAACTTGGGTTTGAAATAAGTCTATTTTTTTTTAACCTGACAGAATTTGTTTTAGTTTTTCAGTGTACTCTAAACTAAGGGAAATAAGCAATATAGATGTTAGATTCTGATACAGAGATTTGGCTCTAAAAATGCAAACTTTGGAATTAGTCATCTGTTCTCAGATGCTAGCTAGCTCTATCATGAACTAGTATTGGTGACCTTGACCAAGTTTCTAAATCTGGAAATAAAAATGGTTCTCAACTCCTAAATGTGAGATTGAGATAATGCACTATGTCAGAAATGTAGTCAAATTTAAATACTATTATTATGTACTATTAAATTGCAATTGTAGATGCACACACACATACACAATCAAGCACACACAGTACAGAGAGGAGGTCAAAAACAAGAGGAAACAATTCTGCGTTCAGAAAGCCTTCATAGAAGTAATTTCCTTGCCCTGGGCCTTAAAAAATGAGTAGAAAACATTGATTGGAAAAATAATAGGATTCCAGACTAAAAAAGTAACATGAGCCCTGAAATTTGTGAGGCCATGAAACTAGAAAATTAAAGGAGGTCAGATTTTGAAGGATCTGCAAGGTCATGCTGAGGAATTTACCTTTGGATGTAAGTTGGGAGTCATCAAAATCTGAAAGTGGAACTCTTAAATCTGTTTGTGAGAGATATTTATGGTTGTAGCAGAGAGAACACATTGAAGTGGGGTGAGGTTAGAGATGGGGATTCCTAACAGAGTGATTTACCTGAGAGACAGCAGCTGCCTGTGATTAGTATTTGCTGCACTTTGAAAAGATAGGGAGGCTTTGATAGAATCTATGCAGCATATAACAGATTAACTTTATTTTTGTGAATTTAAACCAACCCAATTCTGAAATGGCTTTGTTTTCTCTGTTGTTTCTTTTGCATGTTTTTTTTTCCTATATAATTTCAGAATCACTTAATTAGGTTCTAATTAAATGTTTTAGAGTTTTAAGTGACTTGTCTATGAAAAGAGGAGACATGTTTACTTCAAATCTTTATCTTTCTCTGTGGTGTCTAGTACATATCAAGTACTGAATAAAGTTATTGTTAACATGCAAACTCCAACTCCCTAAGTGAGATCATCTCTTTTAAATTAGACACTATAATTTATAACATGTGACCAATCTTTGTGTAATCTCCTAGATCACTGATTATCAACCTGGGACAGTTGTGCCACAGGACTTTGGCAGTATTTGGAGACATTATTAGTTGTCACAGTTGGAGGTGGTGTTTTATAGTGGAGACATCTCCAGGTAGAGACTAGGGTTATAGATAAACAGGTAACCATCCTACAGTGAACAGAACAACCTCCCTTTTGTCCCAGCAAAGAATTATCTGGCCCAAAATGTCATTAGTACCAAGGTACTAATCTCTCTAGTGTTATTGCTGTTGTACAAAAGTGTTTTTATAGTGACCCAGTAATATATTAGTTTCCTAAAACTTGCAAAAACAAAAAATGTAAAAATCTAAACTGATATAATGGCAAACCAATGAAAAATTTGAAGATAAAACACACACGCACACACAAAAGAGACTAAATTGATATGAACTAGATAGACTAGAATCACTCCTGATTTTGAAAATTAATTGAGAAACTATGTACCACAGAATGTTGAGATAATTATCTCTAAATTGTCAGTGGATGTGAGAACTGAAGGTGGTAGGTAGGCAGAAACCATAACAGGGGGTTGGTGGATACTAAATATTCTACAAATAGGGCCTCCCTGGTGGCACAAGGAGTTGAAGCATAGCACTATGAAGTACTATGAAGCAATCACAGCCACCACAGCATGAGTCTGATCTCTAGCCAGGGAGGTAACCCACATGGCACAGCAGACCTCTCCTGTCAACTTGCTGCTTCTGTCAGCAATGTATTTTGGCCAGTCCCCCTGTTTTGCTCCCCATTCTGGTGAATCCTCTCAACCCTCATATTTTTGGCCTGTACCCCAGTTCTTGTATGATAAATAAATAAATCTTTAAAAATAAATCAATAAATATTCTACAAATAGGTTGGCATCTTGTCCAAGCTAGATTACGACACATCAGTGTCTTAAAACAAATATTATGTGGCCTAACATTTGTGATGTTATTATTTTGTGAAGTATAGTAAGAGTTGGTCCAAAGTAAGCATTTCAGAAAAACTGAAAAACCTTATTATCTAATAAGATCCTGAGCTGCTTTCATTGTAAAGTCAGCAAAATTTTAATGAAAACACCACAGCTATAGACATGAGGCTTTTTTTTGTTTGTTTTTAAGATTTATTTACTTATGCACACAAGAACTGGGTTACAGGCTAGAGGCGCCAGGGGGTGAGAAGATTTACCTCTGAGTGGGGAGCAGAACAAGCAGATGTAATGAAGTGACACTGCTGAGGGGAGCAGCGGGTGAGACAGGAGAGGTCTGCTGCGCCATGTGGGTCAGCTCCCCGGCCAGTATAGATGGAACTCAGCTGTAGCAGAGATATCCCTGAGACTTAACCCCTAGGCCACCAGTGAGGCCCCAGTTACTATACTTAATGACATTTAACAACTTTCAAGTTAGTAACACAGTAGTAGATCTTAAATGTTGTCAACACACAAAAAAGAAATGGTTAATTATGTGACATGATGGAAGTGTTAACATTGTAGTGGTGATCTTTTGCAATACATATATAAAATTAACTCATTAAACACCTTAAAATTACAGTGTTATATGTCATTTACCTCTCAATTAACCTAGGGGGCAGAATGAGCAGAGAACTTGTTTCTCCAAAGAAGATAAAAAATTGCCAATAGAATATGAACTTAAGCTTCCTGAGGGCAGAATCAAATCTTAGTGACTATCTTTATTTTTCACAAATAATACTCAATACCAAAACATATATAGATGTTTGATTAACAGATGTTTTGAATAGTTTTTAAAATCAATCTTAATTATTTTCTTTCAGATCTATCAAATCTATTCCAAGCGGTCTGCTGAAGATATTTATAAAATACTGACATCCTACAAGGCTAATTACTTAATTGTAGAGGATTCTATCTGCAATGAAGTGGGAACCATGAGAGGCTGCAGGGTTAAAGATTTATTAGATGTTGCAAATGGCCATGTAAGTAATTATTTCGAAAGTTGAATTTCTTCAATAATCATTATAACTTACGATCTTCCAACTTTACCTTTGGAATTTAATGAAGAATATAAAGTTATATAATGGGGGACTTAAAAGTATTTTTATGTAGTTTTTCAACAGACAAAAGTTAGGCTTTTGTGAAAAAAGAGATAAATTCATTGTACTTTTGCATGTTCAACATTTATTTTTAAAAGGTGGCATAATTTGATCTGAATGGTGATTTTTATTTTCACTCATTTCAGTAATCTAAACAACTGTTTTGCATTGTTACATTCTTACATAGAGGAATTTCTTTTAATTTGATAAACATATCTAGAAAAATGCTTACTAAGTTATCAGGGCTTCTACTCACGCATGCAGAAGAGCCACTTCAGTCCTTAGGGTTTAGTCAGATCTCGATTTTTTTCATTGACTTGAGCTATTGTAGTAACCTTTCTAAGTGAGCCTACGGTATATGTACTGTATATCTGACAACTAAGAAGACTGACAGGGAAGTTTGTATAGCTGATAATTAGTGTTGCCTGGAATGGTTGCCTTTACTCCTGGGAAAGCTGGAGATGGGGGACCTTAGGAAAGTTTAGTAAGTCATTCTAAGTAGGGTGCACATTTTCTGATAGATTGCAACCAATATTATTTTTGTCTCTTCTTAAATAATTAGTATTTTGTCTTAACATCCCAGGACAGTTTGGAGGTGAGAAATTAGTTTTTATAAGACCCACCACGACTCCTTAATCTAGTAGTATAAACTTAATTGTGTTTGCTGTGTGTATTTTGAATTTCCTTAATTGATACTTGGTATCTGTGGTCTTTGGCTAATTGGCAACAAAATGGAATTTTATTAAATTTCAGGTATGTAATAATTCTATATTGCTACCTGTTTTTTGGAGCTTTTTTTTAATTCACTTATTTTAAAGATTTATTTACTTATGCATCTAAAGGCTGGGGTGTAGGTGAGAGATGTGGGAGGTAGGAGGATTTACCAGAGACAGAGTAGGGAGCAGAACAGGTGACTCTACTGAAATGCACTGAGCAGCAGGGAGATAGGAGAGGTCTGCTGCACCATGTGGGTCACCTTTCTGTCTGGGATTGAATTTATGCTGCAGTGGCTGTGGACAGTAGCTTCCTAGTGCTGAGATTTAACTCCTGGGGACTCCAGGGAGGCCACTCCTTTTGGAGCTTTTTTATTCTGTTTTTGGCTGATCACCTTTTTGTACCATTTTGAAGATAAGCAACTTTTTTTTCTTGTATGTAAGCTAATCCATTCTTTTAAAAACTTGGCTTTCCAACTTCTTTTCTAGGCAATAAGATAATATTTAGTGCTTTAGTATTAAAAAAAAATCCTTTAAACTAGTTAAGCTATCTTTTTTTTTTAATGGATCATTTTAGGATTTTTTTTTTTAAGATTTATTTATGCATATAAGAACTGGGTTACAGGCCAGAGGTGCAAGGGATGAGAGGGCTTACCAGACACAGAGTAGGGAGCAGAACAGGCATTATTGGCTAAAATACACTGCTGAGGGGAGCAGCAGGTGAGACAGGACGGGGCTGCTGCGCCATGTGAGTCACCTCCCTGGCTGGGATTGAGCTTGTGCTGCAGTAGCTGTGGATAGCTTCACATTACTATGCTTTAACCCCTTGTGCCACCAGGGAGTTCCCCTAGGTAAGCTATATTAGTGAATATTATTAAGGTGATAATATAAAGGTTTGCACTAGACAAGTCACGAAAACTTACTTGCTTACTAAGATATTGATAATTGTTCTGCACAAGAACAATTTGAATATACATTAAGAATATAATATGTGGGCCCATCCTGGTGTTACAAGGGAGTTTCCTCTCAGCACTATGAATCGATAGCAGGCACTACAGGATGAGTTCAATCCTGGCCAGGAAGCTAACTCACATGGCACAGCAGAACGCCCTTGTTTTGCCCACTGCTCCCCTGAGCAGTGTATTTCAGTCAATCTGCCTGTTCTGTTCCCCACTCTGTCTCAGGAATCCTCTCTCTCTCTCTCTCTCTCACACACACATACAATTACACACACACATCCCCACACCTCTGGCCTATAGCCCAGCTTTTGTATGCAAAAAATAGATAAATCTTTAAAAAATAAAAAGAATGTTTGTTTTTAGCTTGTTAGACTCCATAATATGGTTCTTTAGAGAAACTGTATGGTGGCAAAACCTTTTCCTAGTTTTTTAAACTCAATGGGAAGCTCAAGAGTTTTTTGTACCTGGTAACTCTTGTGAAGAGGCTTTATTTGCTAAACATGTGAGCTGTTTGCTAAGCACCTCACCTTTTGAGATAGTCCATGTTTATAAATACATCTTTTTCATATAGTCACTTGTACATTGATTGCATTTCTTTTACAAGCTCACTAAACTTTTGAATATTGTGTTTCATGTCTTTTTATAGATGGTTTGTGAAGAAGGTGACAAGTTAACCTACTCAAAATATGGGCGATTTTGTCATGAGGTCAAAATTAACTATTCCCCATATGTGAATTACTTCACTAGAGTATACTGGAACAGATCCTATTTTGTATATAAAATCAACACTGTGATATCCTTTCAGTCTTGAAAATTAGCAGAGCCTTCATTTCAAAGACTTACATCAACTGAAGGAAAATTCTTTTCTTCCACCTACATGGTATCTTTTGGAAATCAGAATATGGACATTTAAAGTGTTGCTGCTGCTTTTCCCCTCCTACTGTTAACTGAATCCAGAAGTTCTGTGGGGAAATAGAAGATCAAGCATCACTGACCTCTGGTAATAAGTCAGAACTAGCACTTTGCAATATTATAGCCTGATGTTTTCCTTGTTGCTACATGGTGTTTAAAGGTTTTATCATCTAAACTGTTGCAAATTTTTCCTCATAAATTTTCCTTCTATAATAACATTGATCCTGAATTTGAATATGTTCAAGGTCATATTATATCTCTCAAATATAACATTTAATAAATACTTACTGTGATATAATTAAAAGAATAGAAGGAAAGACTTCTTATACTTAAGGCAGTTTCTGAAAGGTTTTCATGATTTATAGAAGTGAATAATTGCAATAGAGAACTAATTTAAATGTTGTACGAAAATGTATGGCATTTAAATTAAAATAGAAATTATGTAAAGAAAGTGATTTTTAAGGATATATGTATAAAGATATGGATTTTCCATGATACTGTTTTCATCATCTGCTGCTTATGTAAAAATGAGCACTTTGTCAGTAATATGTAGTGCATGATACTGCATTTTATTATTTTATGACTCAATTAAATGGTTAGCTTTTTTTACTTACACCCATAAATTGGATGCTACTTAATCATGATAAAACAATAATTTTTGTGACCTATATATATTTTTAAAATAGACATTTAAAAGAAGGTTCAGTTTTTTAAGAAATATGGAATGGAGTATATAATCTATTCACATGTTTTTTACTGAAGTATTAAGTAAAAATTAAATTTCTTTCAGAATAAAAATATATACACTAAAACGATCAAGAATTTCTGAAGATAATGCACAGATGCTTTTAAACATACCTCTGCCACAGATGTGTTTACTATAAAACACAAGTGCTTTTATTTATGAAACTGTGACAGTTGTCAATATTAATAATTATATCACAATTATAATAAAGTTCACATCACAGTTTCACAGCCTAAATGTTATGTTCCTTTAAGTTAAACATTTTTTATATTTTAAATCATTAATTAAAATCCTAAATGGTTAATTTGGACTTTTTGAAAGAGATTCAGAAAGGGAATAGAAGGAGGGGGGATCTTTTTTGTTATTTTTGGGCTTTTAAGCATTGGAACCAAAGGCCAAATAATAAACAGCCATTACTTTTAAGAAATAAAGATTGCAGGTAGATGTACCATTTTAATACTAAAGGATATATGTTTTGTTTTATCTTGCCTATCTGTTTAGTGAACATATTTTCTAGATTTTCATTTGTTTAGAGCTTTATAAATTATAGTTTCAGTACTCTAAACTATTACATGAGGAATAAATATCTTTCCACTGTCTTTATGTGTGTATATATGTGTATATATATATTTAAAGTACAAAAGCACATGTATCCTTAGACTAACTCTAGGGTGCTCTGCTCTTTTGGAGCTGAAGAATTGTTTGATGACAGTCATCTATCTGGTACATTTGTCTTATTGGTTCTCATTTCATGCTTTTATATATATTTTCTAACAAGATAGCTGACGGCAAGATTTTCAGGTTCTCAGTACATCTCATCTTATTAGTACTTAGCTTCAGGCCTTAATGACTAAAGTTACCTAAGATATAGTACATAGTAGTACTTGTGATGAGAGCACAAAAAACAATGTCATTTAAAGTCAGCTTGCATATTTTGGAAGGGAGCTATACTTTCCCTACTTATGTAGCATGAAATATTTGTTTACTTATGGTGATCAATTTGTTTTGCTAAATCAGTTTTTATTGTTGTGAGGGTTTTTTTTTTTTCTATTTTTTGAGTATTAGTAAGTTGTTTTTGCTTTTGTCTACTTATGTCTTAAAGTAGATTTGGAGTTTTTGATTGAATTTTTAAATAATTTTCTTTCATAATCAGTTGCAAAGGCAAATGTAAACTTTATTATAGAAATAATATTGGAAATGAGGGAAGCTTATTTGCTTCTATTTTAACTATATAACAATAGTACTAGGAAACTTTAAATGAAAATAATTTAATTTCTTTACTTACATGTAAAGTTACATATACTTAGGAATTCTGTAATTCCAAGTTCCATTTGAGTACTTAGAATTGGCAGATGACAATAAATATCTGTTATGAAAGGAACAAAGTTTATGGTTTTTTTGAAGAATACAAAGCGTACTTTGTACTTTCCCCTTAATGTTGCAAAAGGGTTGAAATAAGTGCCTTAACTTTATTTCTAAGTTTACATCGTATTTTCAAAAAAACATTATTTTTTTTCCATAGGAAAATTTGGTAACTTTTCCTCTTTATTACATGTGGAGCATAAGTACTCTCAATGCTGTTTTTACTTTTTTTTAAAGATTTATTTATTTATGCATACAAGAACCTGGGCGTAGGCCAGAGGTTTTGGGGGAGTGCAAAGATTCATCAGAGACAGAGCACAACAGGCAAATGTACTGAGGTCACTGCTGAGGGGGGCAGCAGGCGAGACAGGAAGGGCTGCTGCACCATGTGGGTCAGCTCCTTCTATGGCCTGGGATGGAACTCCTGCTGCAGTGACTGTGACTAATCTCATAGTGCTGTGTCTTTAATCCCTGCACCACCAGGGAGGCCCTCTGCTTTTATTTTTAACATTTATTCTTTATTAAGCAAATCTTTGTTAAGTGTAGAGATGGGATTTCTAGCCTGCAAATTTAAATTAGATTTCTAAATAGCAAACATTTCAATCGAAATGAAAACTTACTTGATAAGTTACATGATTCCACTGCTTTATATTTTTTCTAACTTCAGCATTTGTATCTTGGTGCTTTTATTAGATTGGTAAAGTTTTACAACCTAAAGTGTATGCATTGTATTTTAGAACTAAGCTGGTATATTCTATATATTTAGACGCATTTTTTTCTTAGACATTAATCCAAATTGTCAGTATCTTCGCTGTGTGGCACTCTATAGTCAGACTAATTCAAACAGAAATGGAGGTCAAAATGTGTTACAAATTGGGCCTGGAAAATATGGTTTTTTAAAGAAGTAGCAGATAATTTTTTGAGGGGCACAGTAATAACCATCTTATTACATTGGTTTGTTTTTGAGAAATCACCTGTTTCTGGTCATCTCTATTTTTGAACTGTTAAAACATTTTCATGCCTTTTGTGAATAAAGGTAGTGCCTCTCTTTATGTGTTAGGGAGGGTTTCTTAAAGTTGACTATGTCAAACATTTTAGCAAATTTATTTTAAATACACATATATTTAAAGAGCACATATTAAGAATCATCTGTATATTTAAGAACCCTTTTGTAAAGCAAATAACTGTGTCCTGATTTACATCTCAGTATAGTTTTTCTACGTTTATTAGTTTTTAAAATACAGTCTCTATGGCTGCTATTTGCTAACAGTTGTAGATTCTAATAAGTATTAAAAATACTGCAAATAAAGTTGAATAATTTCTAATGGAAATAATAGCTCATTACGTTTCTGAATGTATGAGGTAAACATTTGGATAAAATTAGGTCTGAGAATTGCAAAAGATTGACTTAATTGTTTGGTGCATTAAGGTTTCTGGATATACTTATTTTCCATAATTTTAAAAAAGGATATTTTGAAACCAGATTTGCTGAATTTAGTTGTCATCCTTTGCAATTTTGAATCCTTTCTATTTCTATAATTAGAATCTACAACATTTTAATAAAAAAATAATTTGCAACATTTTAATCTTGGCATATTTCATCCTATAATGGTTTTATTGGCAGTACACTGAACATCTGATCCTATCTGTATATTCAGTGGAATAATGGTATCAGAATGAGACTTGAATTCCAAACCTCCAGTTTGGAATATCATAAATAACTCATATTATTCACTTCACATAATAATCTTTGTTTAGCAAAGATAATTACAATTGTGTTTTTATGTATGTTGACTTCTAAATCTTATCTATAATTGTATATTTAGATTAAGTGTATTCTTCCTGTAATTAAGGTTAAGTATTTGCAAAAGGATAAAAATTAGTTTTAATAATTATAAGTCTTTTTTAAAAAGTTGGGTGATAAAACTAGTTTACCTCAGATTTTGTAACATTAAATGTATTTTTACCAACTTCATGCTTAATTACACTCCTTGTTTTGTTTTTACAATAAAACTTTTTAGAATTTTAAGTTGTGTTTTATTTATATATGAACCCTTTTTAACAACTTTATTAAGATATAATTGATACACCATACAGTTCACCCATATAAGATGTAAAATTGACAGTTTGTAGTGTACTCATAGAATTGTGTATCATGAGTCAACTTAAGATCATTTTTATCACCTCAAATAGAAATCCGTTCCTTTGACTGTCACTCTCAATTACTCCATTTGTAGACTATGCCTGCTAATATGCTTCCTATTTCTGTAGCTGCCTGTTCTTTCTAGGTATTTCACACACATCAAAACATGTAATAGGTGGACTTTATTTTATTTAACATAACATTTTCAAAGATTAGTTATCTTGTTGCAGATATTCTTTTTTATTGCCAAATAACTCTAATGGCTATACTACATTTTATTTAGCCACTTATCAGTTGATGGACATTTGAGTTTCCATTTTTTGGTATCATAAGTAATATTGATATGAATATTTATGTACAAGTTTTTGTGTGGACATGTTTTAGTTTTTCTAGCCATATGTCCCTTATCAGAGACATAATTTGTAAATATTTCCTCCCATTCAGTGGATTTTCTTCACTTTATCATGTCTTTTGAAGTAAAAATTAATTGCGTCGTTCAATCCATTTATATTAGATTTACTGTTTTTACTGTGATGTGCCTCAAATCAGCTTCCTTACACATGATTCTACTTTGAGGTTGTTGCATTTCTTTGGTATACACATTTAAGAATTTTTAAAAATCAAAACTGAAATTTCTAGTATTCTGACTACATATTACATATGTTGTCATGCTTTTAATGGTGACTCATTTCCCTGAGTTTCTACTCAATTTTCTTCATTTTTCTTCTGTTTGAATTGTATAATTTTATCAATCAGTTTGCTAATCTGTCTGTTTGATACTACTATTGAGCTTGCCTGTTGTAATTTTAATTTTGATTCAGTTTGAAAATATCCTTCTTGTAAATAACCTCTATATTCATATTCTTTGTGGCAACTCTGGGTATTAGTATCCCTCTACCCTGAAGCTTGTTATTATAGTTGGCTTATTTCTTTCTTTAGTGTCCAGCAGGACTATTTCAGTGATGTCTGATGTTGATGCTTACATATCATTGCCTTTGGCATGTACAGTCATCCTCATGATAGTGGTTTTAGTAGAGTTCCTTGTGTCTTTACTTGATCCTGTCCAATTGTTAAGTATCCGCTGATGAGCAGATCACTCTGTTTTCAACAGTACTGGGGCACTAGTTTTTCTACAACCTAGTCCAATTAAATCTTGACTCCTTTGAGGATTGTTTTGTGTGTGTTGGGAGGGTGGGGGGCTGGGGGGGCACACTGATGGTCAGTGTGTGGTTCTAATGTCAGGAAAGCTCTTCTTAGCTGTCTCTGGTAAACTAGATGGCTTATGGTTTAACATGTATCTCTTTTGAAGCTACTAGCTTCCTTTTAATGCTTTCTATCAAAATCCACATTATTTTTGAGAACTGGTAGGTTTGCATTTCCTCCATGATGGAAATGCAAATTAAAACTACAATGACATACTACTTCATGTCTACAAGGATGGCTACATCTATTTCAAGTAGCCACTTGCTTTGGAGATTACTTTGAAGCTCTCTACCTTACATCCTGGTTCTTTCTCTCAGCAAAAGTCACTGACCCACAGCTCAAGCCCAGGGTGGAGACATAGCCATATATCCCTCTGTGTGCCACTCCTTTAAGAGTAGGCTCTGGGTTAAGATGGTGGCCTCTAGTCTTCCCAACCTGTCTCTCCTGATTTGGAAGTTTTGCCCTGCAAGTAGCTAGGATGAGCATTCTCAGGGCCCCACTATTCTCACTGTGTCATGCATGTCTGAGGTGGCAAGCTGGGTGAAAGAAGGCAGCCCCTTATTTCCTGACATCACTTAGCACTCTCCAGGGCCCTTCCTGGTGGTACAGTAGGTTAAAGCATAGCACTATGAAGCTAAAGCTACTTTAGCACAAGTTGGATTCCTGACCAGGGAGGTGAACCACATGGTCTGGCAGACCTCTCTCCTAACCCAACCATTGCTCCCCTCAGCGTTGTACTTTATCAATCTGCCTGTTTTGCTCTCCACTCTGTTTCTGGTGAATCCTTTCACTGCCCCTGCACCTCTGGGCTTTACCCCAGTTCTGTATGTATAAATAAATATTTTCAAAGAAAAAAGAACAAGATACAGGTAGCTGAAAGATTAAAGATTTAAACAAAGGTACAGACACTACCCTCATAGACCACGGGGTGGCAGCATAACCATTAGCACTGAAACATAACTCACCAAAAATGAGTAGTAGTTTAAAATTGTTCATATTGAATTATATTTCATTTACTTTTTTGAAAAAAAAAACCCGCAAGTAAATGGATTGAATTAAATTTTATAGAATTTTAAAAATTTTAATTAAATTAGCTCAAAATTTAATTATTTTTAATTCTCAGAGGCCCTTTAAAAAATACCTTCATCTGTAGTGTACACAATAGTAATATTTCTCTAATTTTGTTCACTGTGCCTCTGATTTCCTACATTTTGTAGCTAGTATGGAAGGCACAGATTTCAAGAAGGAAAAATTATGACATACCCGTATGACAAAAAAGCTGGGAGGATATAAGAGAAAACATCTTAAACTAACATGAAGGAGAGAATATGCTGTTGTTTAC